TTAAAACTACAAAATGGTACCACCAGTTGTCATATCAGCAGACCTGCCAAAAGTATAAAACCATATGATGAGTGCAAATTAGTCTCAGTGTGAGATGCCTAGTTGAATTCATCAAGAATTCCACTTCAGGCATGAGGTAGCTTCAGGTAGAAAGTAGCGCAGTGAGAAGCAAAACATGGGAGCTATATTTGCACTTCACTGCCATCTCTTTTGAAAGTTAATGTAGTATAATGGATAGGGTCTCAGGAAGACCTGGGTACAAGGACTACCTGTGTAATGTAGAAAAGGCACATCATGTCTTAGTGCCCCAGACTCTAAAATGAAGATGAGTTGTCAATCTGTATTGATGGAAGGAGCTTCCTTATCATGAGTTCTCTGTAGCATTATAATCACAAGTCCAGACAAAAAAGTTTTATTTAAATGTGTATTTCCCTCCATCTCTTAAATATCCAAAACCTCCCTCCTTTCTGTCTTTTACTCTCAGTATTTCATCATTCTTTATAACATCTCTTAATTCATCATCATTTTCATCTTTGAAAGGACCTAGGTCCCTATGATCCCTAGTGCTGAGAACACTTCTTTCTTACCATTGCTTTCTTTGTAAGGGATGGGGCAAATAGAGGGAAAAGTAGAAGAGAATAAAATGGGAAAAAATACACAGTTAACCATCATGATCATGAATGTGAATGGAATGAACTCACCTATAAAACAAAAGAGGATTATGTTTATAAGAAACATACTTGAAATGTAGAGATTCACGAAGAGTTAAAATAAAGGACTGGAGCAAAATCTATTATGTTTTAGTTGAACTAAAAAAGGATAACAATCATGATCTCACACAAGGTAACAGCAAAAATAGACAATTAAAAGAGAGAACTTACATTATGCTTAACAGCACCACAGACAATAAAACAATATCAGAGCTTAATATCTGTGCACCATGTAGCATCTCTTGCATTAACTGATGCAGAGTCAAGTGAGTAGAACCAGGAAAACAATTTATACAACAACAACATTGCAAAGACAAACAACTTTGGAAGACTCAAGAATGCTGATCAATAAAAAGGCCAACTTTGATTCCAGATGAAACATGCTGGCTACTTCACAATAGAGCAGTAATAGATTCAAGGTGCAGAATGAAACATACATTTTTGAACATGGTTAATATAGGAATTTGTTTTACTTGACTATGAAATTTTACTGCAAAGGTAGTGTTTTTATTTTTAATGAAGGTTGGAAGGTTAGAGAGAGGCAAGCAATGGCATTCTCCTTATCCCCAATTCCCCCCCAAATGTGAAGAGAATGGAAAGAAGGAATCACAGACAAGCAGGACAGCTTTGCAAATTACATATTGAATTAATCATGTACTTAAAAAGAAGAGCAAGCTCTCTATAATAGAGATTCACAGTTTCATGTGCAATCTTCTCCTTCTGTTCTACGACATATATGGAAATCTTATTTAAATTGGTATTTGTTAAGTTCAGAATAAAAATAAATAAAATTTTTCAAAAGAAAGTTATTTGTTGGTACTCAGACTTTGAGGCTGACTGAGAGGGTAGGACCAACAAAATTTGGTCTGAGTCTAAGACCTGTGATAGTCCTAAATTAGTAGTCATTTAAAACATGTAGAACTAATGTTACCTTTAGTGGAAAGAGCACTGGGTCTGCTGTCAAAGACCTGGGTCCAAGTCATGGCTCAGTCATTTACTAACCATGTGCCCTTATGCAATTAATATCCCCTCTCTAGATTTTAGTCCCCTCATTTGTAAAATGAGGATGTTCGACTACATAATCTCTAAGGTTCTGTCTAGTTTTTAATCCTATGATCCTAAAATCTGTCTCTACCTTGGTCTATTAAGCTTGTGACTTTGGGCAAATCACTTCTTCTCTCTGGTTCTCACTTTCCTCATCTGTAAAATGGTGAAGTTGGATTAAATTCTCTGTGAGACCTCTTCTAGCTCTTGATGTTTATGAATTCTATGAGTTAGATTTTAGTTTACATGATAAAAACAACAGCAACAAAGTGACATAGTCATTGTAGTAACTACAAGAGAATGAGGATGTTTCCTTTCCCACTTTCCACCTCATCCTTCCATAGCAGGGGTTCTTAGCCTAGTCTATATTATGAACCTACCTAGCAGTCTGGTGAGCATTGTTTTTAAAGGCATCAAATAAAATGCATAACATTACAGTGGAAATGGAATATATTGAAATATTGGAGAAAGAAGGGGAGGGAGATGTTTACATAGACTCGAGAACCCCTGGGTTAGAAATATCTTTTAACCCTTCATGTGGTTTATTTTTCTGAAAATAAGAATGATAAAAGTGATTCCTCCCTCTGGGGTATCACATGGCTTAGTTAATAACCCTCGAAGATCTCTGAATGAATGATTTTGAAGAAAGGGATGATTTCTCCCAGATGTTGCCCCTCTTCACCAAAACCTCTCTCCCCATTCGCGTATTCCAGTATGCAAAGCATCCTATCAACTGGCTTTCTCCAGTGGCACCAGGAGGAAGCAGCAGCCTCATTGTTTCTATAGCAACTAATGTACTTCAAAGAAGGGAGAGTAGAGGAAAAAAAGGGAGATGACAAAAAAGAAAAGAAACAGCACAAATATGTGACATTAAGAAAAAACATAAGAAACCTCCAAGTAGGATAGAGGGTGGCCTACTTTTATGCCCACTTCTTTGGGAAGACTTCTCTCAAACTCATTTGCCTTTAAAAAAAAACCTATGCATATACATATACACATACATACATATATATATATATATATATACATATATATATATACACACATACACACATACATATTTAGCTTTATCTAAGGCTTCCCAATGAGCAGGCAGAATTGAGTCCTCTCCTGGTGAGAGGTTAGTGTCATAACAGGACTGTTGGGAATAAGGAAAGGGGAAAACTCAAGGTAATTTAAGCATTATGATTGTTATCTTATCATCCTCATCATCATCAGTCTGCTACCTCAAAAGAGTCGTCACTTTATCACTATGTGTTTCATGCTTGGTTGTATCTGGATAATTCACTCCCTAGTGAGCCATCCCTTTGGCAATGAATCTCCTTGAGTTGATTCCTGATTCTTATTCTGATCCTCAAATCACAAGCCCACCATCTATCTATTACTCGGCCATTACTCAACATCTCTGCAGCTTGATAGGACCTATCAGAGTTTGTGTTTCTTTGGTAGAACTTTTCAGGTGACCTGTAGTCATAACCATGCCACAATGTGGTGGAAAACTGGGACTTAAGTAGAATTCCTTGATATTATTATTATGTAATACCGTGCTTGTGATTTCACTGGGATAGAGAGCTCCTGGGGAGGTCCTCCTTCTACTAATGCAGACTGACACTTTCTACAATTTCTGGTCTTAATGAGTTGCCTAGAACACTGAGGGTCCAGTCACAAAGCCAGTAGGTGCTAGAGGTGGGATTTGAACACAGATCTTCCTGACTCCAAGGCCAACTCTTTATCTGCCATGCTATGTTTATAATAATAATAATAATAATAATAATGATAACCGAAACCATATTCTGGTGCCTCACTTTGGCATGAAGGTAACCTTAGGTTGCTAAAGACTATGCCACTCTGGAAAGGCATTGGATGTGAGCCTGATGCTCATTTCCTGAGGACCAGATTAGCTAAGCTTGGAGGCCCATTATCAGCTTGTCCACAGAACGATGAAATCTTTAGCCACAACTCTCCAAGACCAGTGTCTTTGAGAGGCAACATGAGGTTGTTGAAAGAGCACTGGTTGGGGCAGCTAAGTGGTGCAGTGTATAGAGCACTGGCTCTGGAGTTAGGAGGACCTGAGTTCAAAACCAGCCTCAAATGCTTACTAGCTGTGTGACCCTGGGTGAGTCACTTAACCACAATTGCCTCCAAGGAAAGAAAAAAAGGAAGGAAGGAAGGAAGGAAGGAAGGAAGGAAGGAAGGAAGGAAGGAAGGAAGGAAGGAAGGAAGGAAGAGCACTGGTTTGGGAATCAGAGTACCTGGGTTCAAATCCCACCTCTTTTACCTGCTGCTTGTGTGGCCTTTGGCAAGTTGCCTCACCTTTCTAGACTTCATTTCTTCATCTGTGGATGAAATGTGCAGAGTGCTGGGCCTGGAGACAGGAAAGCCTGAGTTCAAATCTAGTCTCAGAAACTAACTAGCTGTGTGATCCTGGGTAAACCACTTAAAACCTCTATCTATCTCAGTTTCCACAAATGTAAAATGAGCATCATAATAGCTCCTACCTCCTAAGGGTGTTGTCAAGATTAAATGAGATGATATTTGTAAAGTGTCTGGAACATAGTTAGGCACTTAATGAATGCTTCCTTCCTTCCTTTTTTCCTTTCTACATTCCTTCCTTCCTTCCTTTCTTCCTTCCTTTCTTCTTTTCTTCCTTCTTTCTCTCCTTCCTTTTTTCCTTCCTACATTCCTTCCTTCCTTCCTTTCTTCCTCCTTCCTTCCTTCCTTCCTCCCTTCCTTCCTTCCTTCCTTCCTTCCTTCCTTTTTTCCTTTCTACATTCCTTCTTTCCTTCCTTCCTTCCTTCCTTCCTTCCTTCCTTCCTTCCTTCCTTCCTTCCTTCCTTCCTTCCTTCTTTCTCTCCTTCCTTTTTTCCTTCCTACATTCTTTCCTTCCTTCCTTTCTTCCTTCTTCCCTTCTTTTCTTCCTTCCCTAGATCTAAGATCCTATAACCACCTCCTAAGGCCAAGAAGGCTTTTCATTTGTGGTAAGGGGTACCTCCATCTACAGAACCATAAATTCTTAATGTATTAAGATAGGCATGCTTTGTTCACTGTTAATCCATTTTTCTCTTTACATTGTATTAGCATGCAGAAAATAAAGTATTTTTAAGAACCTCTTCTTTGCTTTCTCCTTGGTTATTATTCAACCATCGGAGAACCAAAATACCACCACAGTCAACCTAAGGGCTGCTGTGCTTTCCACAAAGTTTCATGAGACTCACTTGTGTTCTATTTTATTCCCTTTCCTTTTAGTTGGCCACGGACAGAGTGAAGGTGAAAGGATGATCGTATCTGATTTCCATGTTTTCGTCAGGGATGTGTTCCAGCATGTGGATCTCATGCAGAAAGATTACCCTGGGCTTCCTATCTTCCTTCTGGGGCATTCCATGGTAAGCAGACTCTGATATGATGATGATGATGGTGATGATGATGGTGGTGGTGGTGATAGATGGATGGATAGATGGGTAGATAGAATAGTATAGAGCCCTTTAGGGTTCACAAAGTGCTTTATATCTGTTATTTTACAATGTATAATAGCTACCCTTTTCTCCAGCAGAGCATAGGGATTAAGGCTAGATTAGGGATAGGGATTAAGAGAGTTGAACTTGCAGTCAGGGGAGCTGAGTCCAAATCCTTTGTAACTAGGAGAAAGTCAATTAACCTCCAAAGATGCCAGTTTCCTCATCTATAAGACAAGGGGCTGGATGGCCTCTCTGCCTCCTCTCATCTCTAAATCTGTGATCGTGTGCTCCTAGGAGCCTCTAGACTCCAGTAGCCTTGTATGGGGAGACAAAATGGATGAGGAAATGGGGTAGAAAGGGAGGGGCCTTGCCTCCTTGCCCAAAATTCTCTCCTCCTGGCTTGTTCAGCTCTCTTTGTATCCTGAGTATTTTGTGTTCCCAGAGAGTTTAATGCTTGTAAGCCAGCGCCAGATTCACAGCCCTGGAGAGCAGAGTCCTGGCTATGGAAGGAGGAGAGGATTTTAATGTCTGGCTTATTTGTCTTGAGCACAGAAACTGCAGATGAGGTTGCCAGCAAATATTCATTGAGGTGGGAGGATTTGGTTGTTTGGGGACAATCAGATCATTTTTTTAAAAATAGTTTTGGTTCTACCAAGTCACCAGGCCTCTCAAGTAGTAATCAGATAATTCTTTCGAATCACTACAGACCAGAAAGGAAAAGTGTCTTGATTATAAAGAGAGGATTAAATGTGGCAATTGTTTTTAATCTGGCCATTGTGGAGTTACCCAGTAGAAGTGGGAACTAGAAATAAAGGAACCATTTGTAGGAAGTTTTCAGATTTGATCCAAGGAGACCTTTGGACCAGGGGAAAGCCCTTGACACGTTATCAATGTACACTACTCTTTAAAATCCTGTGCCAATTACCAAGTGCCTGCCCCTTAGAATCCTCTTTCCATTTCATCAGACAAACTGGGCATTGGTCCTTTAGGAGCAGGAAATTCACCAAGTGTTTTCCTTGGGAACTAAACTTCTGTGATCTTTACCAAGTGAGCGATGTAAGCACCCCCCTTTTCTGATCTGATTACTAAAAAGCTCACACCGCCCTGACTGGGTTTATGCCAGCTTTGGACTAGAAATGAAGTGTAAATGTGTTATTGTTTAACTTGCAGCCCACAAGCAAGAATTTTATTTATATCTCTCTGAAATGTTTGCTCTTGGAAAACCCAGAGAAAAACGTTTGTAATAAAATAATTGTAGTCCTAGTTTATCCAACATTCCACAGCTTCCACTCGAAGGTAAGCAATGTTCTTCATCCAGTGCTCTTGGCAAACACTATAATTTAGCTTAGAAGTGTCATGAATGTCACCCCTTTGAAATATCGCCTGTTGCCTAAAACAGATGAGCAGCTCAAGGTGTCTAACTTCTCATTGCAGGGAGGAGCCATTGCTATCCTAACTGCTTCCGAGAAACCAAATAGCTTTTCTGGCATGGTGTTAATTTCACCTCTGGTGGTTGCCAGCCCAGAATCAGCAACGACTTTCAAGGTAAAAGAACATCTGGTTCAGTGAAACATTACTTTATTGCAGGTTCATGGGGTCATCAAAAATATCTCTGTAGCTCATATTTGCTTTGATTTTGTATCTAGTTATAGATTTGTGCAATATCGATTGCTGCTACTATGCTCCTAGGATATCTAAGGTGAAATAAGTTTTTCAAAGACTAAAGAAAAATTATTTTCTGATGCCTGTTTTTTTTAAGGAGAAAAGCACTATGTTAGATTAATTAATTTTATTAACAATTAATAGAATTGACTCCTGAGAACCATTTACTAACAAGTGCAAACACCAAACTTTTTATTTAGGAAGAAGGAAACAAACATTTATCAAGTGCCTACAACGTGCCAGGCATTGTGTTAAGTGCTTTACAAAATTTTATCTCATTTGATTCTCACCCCAACCCTGGAAGGTAGGTGCTACTCTTATCTCCATTTTACAGTTGAAGAAACTAAGGCAGACAGAATTTCAGTGAGTTTCCCAGTGTCACATAACTACTAAGTGTCTGAAGTCACATTTGAACTAAGGTCTTCCTGACTCTAGATTCAGAATTCTATCCATTATAGCACCTAGCCACCTCAATTTAGCATGTATAGTAAGAGGCGAGTGAGTCCTAGTGGATTAGCAGCTGCTGACCTTGGGGTCTTGGAACACCTGTCTTCAAGACATGCTTCTGATGTATACTAGCTACATGACCATGGAAAAGTCACTACTTCAACTGCCAACACCCTGGCACACAGTAAGCACTTAATAAATGCCTTATCTGTGTATCTAAGGCTATATAGAGCAATCACCACTCTCACTGAGAGTTCTTAAACCAATGAAATTACCAATCTACTTATATAAAGATATGTCTTTTTTATATGTTTATATGTACATAGACATATACATATACCTGTGCTAAGGATGAAGAACTAAAGGATTTCTACAAAGAACTGAATGAGACTTCCAAACTAGAGCAATATGAATTGAGATACTCCATAACTTCAATGCAAGTAGGAAAATGTGAAGATGTCAAGAAATAAGTGAGAAAGCATGATTTAGGAAAAAAGAAGTAGAGCAAATAAAGGCATATAGACTATATAGAAGTTTCATTCCTTTATATTATGAACACTTTGAGGACCCACTCCAGGTCATCTGACCATCTCCCACCCCACCCTGCTTTTCAACATCTTTTTAACATGTTGTTTCCCACATTAGACTGTAGGGCGGGAATTGTCTTTTACCTTTCTTTATCTCCCTAGTGCTTAGCACTATGCCTGGCACATAGTAGGTGCAAAATAAATTTATATTAACGGTCAGAAAAGAATTGGTAAGCTCTGAGCATGGTACACACCAAATAATACACCAAAAAAAATGAAATAAGTTCTTTTTTAACAGACAGGAAAGGATTTGTTATTGATGTGGCAACTATCCCTGAATTAGTTATCTGTATGTGGTCAGACCACCAAATTGTCAGGGAAAAGATCAGAATTAGTCAAAACCAATTAAATTCAATTCAGTAAACATTTAATAAACACCTATTATGTGCCAGGCATGGCAGCTAGATGGCTCAGTGGATAGAACACTGGATCTGGAGTCAGAAAGACCTGAGTTGAAATCTGGCTTCAGAAACACTTGATGTGTGACCCTGGGCAAATCACTTAATCTCTGTTTGCCTTAATCCACTGGAAAAGATAATGGCGAACCACTCCAGTATCTTTGCCAAGAAAACCCATGGACAGTATGGTCCACGGAGTCAAAAAGAGTCAGACACAGCTAAAAGACTGAACAACAACAATGCATCAGGCACTGTGCCAAGCCCCAAGGAAACAAAAAGAGCCAAAAGATAGTCCCTGCTCTCAAGGAGCTAACAATCAAGAAGAAATAATAACAGTGGGGGAAAGATACAGCGTATAATGGAAACAGCTTGATTCTGAACTATTTGAATAAGTAATTGGCCGTGAAAATTGGGACATGGACTAGAAAAAAGGTATTGACACTGATAAGGTCAATACTTCTACACAAGCTTAATGGTTGTAAATCTGCTGTCACCACAAGAGGACCAGAAGTGCTCAGGAAGTGCCTTAATCAACAACCATTTGACTTGCCTGGGAAGTGGAGAGAGGTGACTGCCAAAGGCAGTACCGTTTTAGAGTGTAAGCTTATTTTTAAAATGGAGAAGAAAGATAATAGACAGTTATAATCAGTATTATCTTGTTAAGTAGTGAGGGACAGTTACTAAAATCAAGTTCGTAAACATTATTATGTGCCTACCATGTGCCAGGCACTGTGCTAAGTGTTAAAGACACAAAGAAAAGCAAAAGATTGGCCCCGCCTTATGGAGCTTACTTCAGCTTAAAGAAAGCTTGTTAAGCAATCAAAGTAAACGAAGCATCCCGAGTTCATTTAAACATGAAGTAGAAGACAACAGTTAGAAGAAAAATGCAAAAGGTCTGTCCATGGGACAAACTGTTTTCACCATTAAAGATAATCAGGCTTCTGCCCCAATATCACAGTCCTGGATTTGCTTGTTGGGGAGGTAGAAATGACACCGAGGAGAATAAAGCTGGGGAAAGTGGCTGTATTGAACGAAGTGTCCAATATGGAGGAGATCCATGATGGAGAAGACACAACTGTGAGATCATCCAGGGACTGATATGCCAGGGGAGCATAACAAAAAGCACCAAAAAAAAAAGTTTTCAGTTCTTGTCAATGCCCAAAAAGAATAACAGAGAAAATACCAACAACTACCAACCAATATACTTATAGAAATCATTAAAAAGACTATCTACAAAGGAAACTCCAAGTGGACAAAGACTGTCTATTGTCCAGATGTGAGAGGAATAATCTACTTCAGTACTCTGAAGACCGCATGCCATGGCGTATTTCATTTATTAATTATGTATAGCTTTATCAGAGAATCCAGTACAGACTTCAGGTCTGGTCTAGACAACAAGAATTTCTCCATAGGTGGAGCAAAACAAGATTTTTTGTAATCTGGAGTTGAGAAGAATCAGGGAATGGGAGGCACAGAATTAAACAATGGGAGGTGTGGTATAGGGTGACTATATCAAGAAGTTAGGGAGATAATTAATCTATAAAATTGTCCACAAAATTAATTAGATATATTCAAAGAGGAACCATGAAGAATTAGTAAATTCCTCTAGCATATTCTGAGAAAGGTAAAAAAGAAATTACAGATAATGGATAACCAAAAATTACACTAAAAAATAGAACATTCATTGCTTTACCTGAGGCATCAAGAGTTCGCTTAATTCCTTCAGATTAGCAAGGCTGAGTCTAACCATAGACCTTTGTGGTAATGTTAAGCTCTCTAGAAGTACAACAGAATAAGACAAGACTCAGGACCTGAGTCCACACAGTAGGTTGAAAAACATTTATTAAGTGCCTACTGTGTGCCGGCCACTAGGGATACAGAGACAAAAAATAATTTCTGGTCTCAAGAAGCTTTCTGTCTAAATGTGGGAGACAATATTCGAACAACTATGTGCAAACAAGCTATATACAGGATAAGCTGGGGGTAATTAAAAGAAGGATTCACTAGAATTAAGGGAGATTGGAAAGCCATTACTTTTCGGGACACTGAGACAGATGGACAGAGCTGAACTGGAAGTGAACAGGCTGGCTTACCTTTGGGAAGTAGCAAAGCTTCTTGAATGACCCCAAGATAACCATGGAAACATCTTGTGAATACCACATTCTACCACTTCTAGTGTTTGGCAGTAAGACATGGAAATAGTAGACTCACAAGAATTAAAAATGATTATTGGACAGATGGCATTATATAAGGAGGTTCGTGGGACGTGTCAGGAGGCTACATCATGGAACCAGTGAAGAATATCAAAGAAGAAGATGAATAAAAGGATGTCAATAGCAAGGTATGGGGTAGGAACAAAAGTTAGGCTGGTCTTGCGGCCAAGGCTAGGGATGATGAGTGCACAGCCATTATTGTACTAGCATCCTCACAGTGTCAGAAGAAAGCAAAGAAGGCCTCTAGTACGTTGGGTGGACCCCCATGACAAACTTATGGGAGAACACGGCCAAGAATCACACACAAAATGGGCAGGTGTGATTGACTGTATGTATCATTAGAGGGAACTCCTGAGCTGATATGATCAGCAATCCTTTTGAGTATAACAGCTTAGCCTAGGAGCTGTATGTCTTGGTAGGCAGCAAATGTAATTTGAGTACATGTTATCCATATTCCCTGTGGAAGACAACTTATCTGGAGCCCCAAATTGGAACTATAGGGTGCTATGTGGGATCCAGTTGCAATCATGAAAGGACACATGAAAACTCCAAAGGGGATAAGGAAGACAGAGTTGGGGTGGGCCGGGCCCAAAAGCAGGTATCAGCTGCCACCAGTTGCTTTGCAGAAATGGCACTGGAAGTCTTCTTGCTTTGAGTACGTCGATGGATTTATGACCTTCTCAGTGTTGGTATTCCCTCCAGTGAAATAAATTACAACACTTGCCTGCTCGTGGGCACCCGTTAAGGACGTGATGGTTGAGATATTTTAGCTGTGTTAACACTTACAAAAGACCAAGTCTTGCACTGGAGCCTCAGGTCCCTGCAATGGGATCTGATTGTACATGAGAGAAGGTTATAACAAGGTCATCATGCTTGCAGTTATCAGCAAGGCCCAAAGGCAAGCCTGCCTTATAGTGAGCTCTGTGCTACAGTAATTAGTGCTAGAATGAGACTCTGGCATATAGAGTATCAATTAGATGCTGTAAGATCTTGATTTTCCAGTTCAAGTGAAAGGGGCTAGAAGGAAAAAAACGGACATGGTCCAGATTATCTTGACACCTTTATTAAAGAACAAAAACAATCATCATATTATCTGAAAGAGTGTTTCCTTTTAATGTTGTGCCATTTTAAAAGAACCACTAATGACTTACAAAAAATGTATTTTAAGGGGCAGCTAAGTGGCACAGTGGATAGAGCACCAGCCCTCTATTCAGGAGGACCTGAGTTCAAATGCAGCC